TGGCACAGGCACCAGGAAGGTGGGCCAGCATCTGGGTTTTTTCAGAGAGCAGGACCTTGACCAACTCCCAGAGCCTGTGCTGTGCCCCTCCCCAGAGGCCAACTCTCCCTCCCGCCCTCTCTTCCTACTTCTGTCCGAAGTTGGCTGTCTGTCTCTGTCTATCTCTGTCTCTGTCTGCCTCTCTATCACTTTGTCTCTCTCTGTCTTCTTTGTCTTTCTCCACCTCTGTATCTTCATCTTTCTCAGTCTCTCATCTGTCTTTTCTTTGTCTCTTCTCTGTCTTTGTATCTCTGTCTTTTCTCTATCTCTGTCTTTCTATTTTTGCCTGGGCATCTCTGTCTCTGTTTCTCTCACTCTCTTCTTGTCTCTCTCCCCCCTGTCTCTTTTCTGTTTTTGTATCTGCCTTTTCTATGTCTCTGTATTGATATATGTCTGTCTGTGTCTTTGTCTCCCTTCCTCTTCATCTCTCTCTATATCTGTCTTTCTCTGTCTCTCTCCATTTCTCTGTCTCTCAGTCCTGTCTCTCTATCTCTTTTTCTCTGCACCCCGAGGGCTGGGGACAGCAGTCACTAGCATAGAAAACACCTAAAACAGGATAAGTGGAGACCCCAGGTCAATCCTCCCAGGCTGTGGCATCTCAGGGGAGCTGAGGAAGCAGTGCCATCTCAGAACTGACAAAAACAAACCTTTTCTGAGGACCAAGGTCAGAAATGGCTGCAGGAGGATGGTCTGCCCCTTGACCACCAGGTCAGCAGCCTGGCCCCTTGACCACCTGGCAGCAGCCTGCCCTTCCTCACAGGGGTTCTTATGCCTGTCCACTAGCACTGTGCCCCACCGCCTGTGTCTCAGGAGGATGCCGGGGCCCTAGGCCAAGCCCTGTGCTGGCTGTCTCCCATCCCTCCTGTCCTCCCGTTCCCCTGTCCCTCCTGTCTCTAGGTTTGCGCCTTTGCTGGTCCTAATGGGCACATTTCCTTGGCACATGCCTGCACGAAACCTCCCAGTAGGAGAATGGGATGAGTAGACATAGAACAGTGGAGTCTCGGGTGGTGACCGTCAGTGACTGCTTCTTCCACAGAGTCCCCTGTGCAAGCCACAGACCTTGGGGACAGAAAGCCCTGGGCTGTAGTACTGGGGGCATCTGCACAGCTGGCAGGGCTGGGGCTGGCCGTCTCCATCCATGGAGCCTATCGACATGTCCCCAAGCATGGCCTAACCGTCCAAAGCCCATCCATGGGTGCTTGGCCTGCTGTCTGTGGAGATATCACAACAAAAACTGGAACAAAGTGTCAAAGTGTTTGGCAGTGCTGCAGCCATGTCCATGTACTTTATTGTAATGGATTGGAGACTGAGAAATCACCAGCCACGTCCCTCTCCTGGGACTCCAGGCCGGGAAGCACCTATTCTCCCTGCCACCAGCCTGAAGCCATCTGGTGTAAGAACGCATCTATCTGCTAGGACCATGATTTCCGACCCTTGGCATTTGATTTTCGACCCAAATTTGAGCCTTCAAAGTTGCCCTCTAAAGCAGTGGAAGGACTGGGCTTGCTCCTTCTGGAAAGTCTCATGGGAAGCCCTGCCTCATGTCCCTGAAAGACTGTGGGCAGGAAGGCCAGTAGACTCCGTTGGCTCAAGGGGGCCTAGGGGTGAAGCCTGTAGGGCCAGAAGGCTCAGGATGGAAAAGGCTCCCTAGGGTGCCAGCCAGTGGCAGTGGTGGCACCCGGGGAAAACTGAGGCTGAGAGGAAGGGAGCCACTGCAACGTGAGGTCCCAGAGAGAGGGTGACCCTGATGCTGGGCATCTGACAGTGCTCCTGGGTCTCTGGGAAACCCTAGGCCCACAAGAGGCCATGTGAGATGAGAATGGAAGACCATGAACACCCGCTGTGCTCCTGGAGTGCCCTCGTGAATCTCGTGGGAATGGCCCAGCACAGAGAAGGACCCTGGTATGGCTCTGCCCCTGCCCCCTGACCCCGCCCCCTTCCTCCTGAGGTGCCTTTGGCCTCTCCCAGCCTCACCCAGGTGAGGCACAGTGTGTGGTGGGCACATGGACCCTGCCTGCTGTGGAAGAGGCTCATCCATGGCACCCAGGCCATCAGGCCACGAGGTGCCACACGAGACACCGGGCCAAGCAGTGCGTCATCCTCTTCCTCCTTTCTGACCTTCCTCTGTGACCGCTCTGGCCTCTGGTCGTCCCAGAAGGTAAATCAAGTGGGTAGGCGGGTGCACAGGGGTATCTCTCCCTTGGGAAACACACTGTGTTCAGAGGCCTGGGCGTGGGGACAAGAGGATCCCAGCCACCTCTCACTGGCTTCTCAGGCCTGAGGCGAGGCGGGGAGTGGCAACGTGGCCTCCGCCTCGGCCTCCCTCCTGGCCTCCCCAGGTGACACCCTGGAGGTGTCTCTCACGTTGGTGCTTCCACATTCCTCCTGCGGGAAACGTGCCGCCGCCCAGTGAGGCTGGCAAATGCATGGCCGCGGGCACGGAGCCGCCGCCTGCTGGGACTCGCAGAAGTATGTGTCAGTAATCCCCACTCGCTCTTTTGGGCCGCCGCGGCAGGAGAGGCACTGGTGGGGAGGGCTCAGGCAGGGCCTCGTGGCCTGGAGGGCCTGTGGGGAGGGGTGCCTGCATGCAGGAGAGTCTTGGGGACCCTACCCCAGTCTGGAAGGGGATCTGGCACCAAAAGTGGTGGGTGCCCTGATTCCTGGGGACCCCACCAGGTGTGGGAAGAGAAACCAGAGCCTTGGGGATCTCCCAGGCAGGTTGCACCCATGGGTGGCCTTTGTCCAGTCTCAGTCCTGTCTAGCTGATGGGGAGGAGTCGTTCACTGACAGGGCACATGCCGTGACCTCAGATCTGAGGACAGGAACCTGGTCCCTGCCCTGAAAGGCCCTGATCTCAGAAGGCAAATTCTCAGGCAGGGTTCACTTGAGGGCTCTGGAGAGGGGAGACCCAGGCCCGAGCAGGCCTCGCCAGCAGAGACCCTGGCCCCTGACTGCCCCCACCTCTGCTGGCTGTGCTGGGAATAAGGAGGGAAGACCTGGCAATGGCCCCGGTGACATACCTCCTGCGCCAGACACAGGGGCAGGAGGAGGCGGGCTAGAGCCAGAGGTTCCCAGGAAGGCAGAACTGAGGCACTAAGTTGTCTGAAGACCCATGGCTGGGGTGTGCCCACCCCTCCTGGGGTTCAACAGAGCACAGGCCAGGAACGGCCCTGCCTGCTCTTTACTATCCCTCCACCCGAGGCCTTAGGTGGAGAAGGGTCTGACCACCTCTCCTGATATATGGGGAAACTGAGGCCCAGGAGGGGAAAAGAGAGAGCAAACAAGTGAATGGCAGAACTGGAGGCCATGTTCTGCCTCCCAGGCCCAGCAGAAGGCTGCATACAGAGGGTACAGGCCCATCCGTGGGCTTTGGGACCCCTGTGCTACTCGACCCACAGGGTTCCATGCTGCCTTGAGTGGGGATAGGGGGTGGGGGTGGAGCAGCTGATGCCCTCCAGTGCCACCTCACAGGGACAGGAAGGTGCACATGGGACCAAACAGAGGCTAGAAGCCATAGACCAGGGAGGCTGCTGTGGCCTAGGCCGCCTGCCTTCCAGGCCTGCCGGCCTCCTTCCTCCCTGCAAGTCGCAGCCAGCGTCTCTGCTGTGTCCCTGGCAGGCCGCCCGGCCTTTCAACAGGAGCAAGGGAGGGAGGAAAACCATTAGAGCCAGGCCGCAGGTGTGGTTCCCAGACCCCGGCCAGGTGGAACCATGGTTTAGGGCCAGGCTGCTGTGTGTTCTGAGTGGATGATGATGCCTTCATCTCCCAAACAGAGCATACTGGGAAGAACCAGTGACTGCACAGGGGAGAATCAGACGGATATGGCCATGATCTCAGCAACTTCTCATGTTCCAGAAGGATAAAACACTGTGCTCTGCTTTTAAAACTTGCTGAGCACTGCCTGCATTTCCAGGGCTTCTGGACAATGACACAGGGTGCTGCTGGATCTTTGGGCCGGGAACTCTGACATCTACCACTCTCACCCTGTTGGCAGCCCTTTTGCATGCAGAAGGTCACCTGGAGCCTGGAGGGTGGTACCCTATAAAGAGAACCACCCTGAGCCAGGAAAGAGGAGACCCTGCTAGGAGAGCTTCCCAGACCTGGGATGGGAAGGACCCTGCAAAGAGAATGTCCCAGAGCTGGTGAGGTAGCAGTACTGCCTTCCTTTTGGGACACCGATTTTGTGGGCCAGAGGGATATATGGTGTCATGTCGATTGGGCAGCTAGAATTCCAACTCCTCGGCCAGGTGGCCTCCAAGGCAGGATGTGCAGATGCTCTCTGGAACGTTGGACTGGCCACAGAGGAGAGGTGACCGGCTTCCTTGTGGGGTGACTCACAGGCTGGGGTGCAAGGAAGGAAGCCAGAAAATAGGCTGCCTCGGCCTCTCCCTGGGGACTGAGCAGAGCCCTTGTACCCCACCATTTCCAGTCCCTTGGAGGGATCCAGACCTTGCCATGACCTGGACAGATGGCACTCATCTGGGAGTGAATGGGGAGTGACAGAGGACAAGTTCCTCATGCTCACCTGGTCCCTTGTGCAGGTGACCCTTCATGGTGCTCTGGCGTGAACAGCAGTTTGTGTGGAGCTTTTGGGAGGGTGAGGGGGACTGGAGGGGGCATCTGAAGCCCCATGAGTCCACATTGACTGTAGGACCGGGGCCTGCTGATCTCAGGTCCCAGGAAGACAGGAGTTCCGCCAGTTTGGCTACTGGGCCCAGGGCTGTGTCTTGGACCCCGAGCAAGCAGAGGACACTGGCTGATACCCAGGGCTCAGGCCCATCAGCTTCTGTTCTGACATGGCCCCTTCTGTCCCCCACTCGAACAGGGAGCCTCTGCTATGACCTAGCTCTTTCTGGGGCCCTCCGGCTTCCACAAGGGAGAGGTGGGGTCCTGACTCCTCAGGTGATCAGGTGTGTGGCTGGTTCCCAGGGTCCTGGGCCCTCTGGCTGTGGAGAGCAAGAATGTGGATTCAGGAAGCCTTAGGAGGCTCTCTTCAGCCTCGGGCATCCACGCAGGAGGCAGCCTTGGTGGCCCAGGCGACCAGCAGTTCTGGCAGCCACTGTGACTCAGCAGGTAGGGGAGGTGTCCCTCGGGAACTTGCATTTCTCACATGTTCCTAGTAGTGCTCATGCTACCAGCCCTGGGGCCACCATGGGAGAACTTGCTCTCATCCACAACCTCCTGGCCCAGCATGGGAAACCAAGGCTCAGCAGTCCCAAAGCGGCAGGCCTGACTGTTAGGGGTCACCACCCATGTTCCCCTTGATGGTTGTTGTCCCCAGGAGGAAGCAGCCCAGTAGGGAGGCAAGGGGGCCCCCCAAGTACTCTGTCCTCAGCTACAAGGAGGCAGCCAGGGTCTCTGTTCATGTCACTTACATCGGGCTGACTCACAGTTGTGATTCTGTAAGAACAAGGATTTCCCATTGTAAGGTTATTGTGGATGTTAGAAAGGAGGGGTCCTTGGCAGGCCAATGTGCGGGAGCCCTGTTCTTCCATGGCAACCCATGACAGTGGCAAAGGCCCTGTTCCCTGAACCTGGCTTCCTCCTCCAGGAGGCTTCCCCAAACCACCTCCTCTCTGGGTCCTGTCGGCCAGAGGGAATCCCTGAGAGGGAGGGGGCAGGGAGGAGCTTGGGAAGGGGTCAGTGACAGGAGAAATGCTGAGGGTAAAGGGAGAAATAACCAGCATCAGCAGGATTCCCTCTCAGAGACAAAGACCCCAGGGTGGTGGGAGGCAGTGAGCAGGGAGGAGTGACGAACTTTCTAAAAGCCGCATGGCTCACACCTGTCATCCCAACATTGGGAGGCCTAGGCAGGAGAACTGCTTGAACCCAGGAGTTTGAGATCAGCCTGGGAAATATCTCAAGACCTCATTTCTACAAAAGGTCAAAAAATTATCCAGGCCTGGTGGTGTACACATGTAGTCCCAGCTACTTGGAAGGCTGAGGTGGAAAGATTGCCTAAGTCCAGAAGGTTGAGGCTGTGGTGAGTTGTGATCATGGGACTACACTGCAGCCTGGGCAAAAAAGTGAGAACCCCAACTCAAAAATAAAAATTATTTTTTAAAAAATGACCCTGGAACAAGCTGGTGGAGGCAGCGGAGGCTCAGACCCTGGGAGCCCATACAACAGGGTGCCCAGGACCCCTTTTTTCTTTGTTGAGTTCAATAAGCTTAGAACTCAGAGGAGGTTAAAAACAAATGCAAGTACACAGAGGCGGAGGCGAAGGGAGGATCTGCTCGCCTCTGGTGCTGTGTGACATGACGTCGACCACAGACTAAGGGTTTCCCATGGCTCAGCTCTCTCAGTGGGAAGTCTGGATGGGCTTGTCAGTGTCTCCCTGCAGGGTCTCATGAGGCCAGGAGGGCTGCAGATTATCAAGGGCCCAGGTTATCAAGGGTCAGCTCTTTGCCTGTCTCAGGCCTGGCCCGAGCACTGGCGGATGTGGCCTGGGTGGTTCCCAGCTCCCAGGCCCCTCCCTGGCCCCAGAATGCACGTCTCAGAGCCCAACACAGTGGTGTATCCCAGGCTTGGGACCCTCTGTCTTCTGGACACACATGCATGGTTGATTAGCCCAGGTTGCCACTGGGGTTCATGGCACCAAGACCCTGTGTGGGCATAGCACAGTCCGGGGCCTCGGGTGAGTCTTTGGGCCCTATGGGATTTTGAGCCTAGAGCTACCTCCTTCTCTGGCACAGAGCCACCCGCCCACCGACCCTGCCCTCCCAGACAGTAAGGATGTCTGGAGAGTGACTACATCATTTTCACTGTGACACCTGTTCCCCGGTCTGTGTCCGGTGAGGTTGGAGGTGGTCCTGCAGAATGGTTCTTGAGACATTGTCACCAGAAGAAAGCAGCCACCTTCTCCTGGGAACCGCTGATGGAGATGACAAAATGTATGGCTGCTCCCAAAGTAGCAAGGAGCTTGACCCACATGGTTGGGGCAGGCATGGAGGTGAACATAGATGAGTGGAGCAGTTACATGGCTATGCTCAGGTCCTGTGACCACTTCTTCCTCCTGTGTCCCTTAGCTCGGGACAACAACCTAACAATAGAACAGACCCTCCCCTGGTGCTTGCACCGTACGAAGCTGCGGTATGTTTGTCAACATCAGAGACCAGTGCAGGTGCTTTGTCATCTACTGAGTGCAGGCTGACCTCCCGGTTTTTTGTGACTGTCTTTTGTGTGTTACCAGATGATCTGGGAGCCCAGAATCCTCTTGTTCAATACTGTCATACTGGATGCATCCCTAGATCTTGTTCTGAGGATGAACTTTGGGGAGACACATCCCCCTAGACAGGGCCTGCGCCCCTCCGGGACTCAATGCAACCATTACTCCTGGCGAGACCTGAGACCAGTCTGTCCATTTCTTGTCTCAGGAGAGCCTGGCCCAGAGAATATAGGTGGAAGGAGTTATAGATGACAACTTTTTAAGCGTTGATGGGCTAGTCCTCTTTGTCCTCCTCCATGAGAAATTTGGATCCTGGGGGCTTTCATGGGGAAGCAGGGGGTAGTGGGGGGTGCAGTAGTGCATGTCCCACTTGGATTTTGTATATGTTTTTGTTAAGTTTTTATTTATTTTGTAGAGGCAGAGTCTCACTGCATGCCCAGGCTAGTCTCAAACTCCTGGCCTCAAGCAATCCTCCTGCCTTGGTTCCCCAAAGTGCTGGAATGACAGTGACTTTGTTTAATGACCCAATTGATCCTTCAAAGCCCATCCCAGATCTGGTGGCCTGATGAGTCCCCTTGGCCTTTCCCTGCCCCCTGTCTCTCCCGGTGTCCCCGCCCGGCTCTTCACCCTCCACTGGTGGGGTCTGAGTTGCCCAGGCCTTCCTGGCAACTGGGTTCTCTCAGAAGGAGAAGCCTTTCAGGAAGCATTTGAGGGAACTTGTGGGGCCCTCAAGCTCAGAAGCCACTGTTACCCCCACATCCCCAGGGCTGGCAAGAGGGATCCGGTCAGAGCTGGCAGAGGCCAGGGAGCGGGTGCTGCAGCTGGGCTGGCCGCCGGCTGCACCCTGGCCTCACTGGCTGCTCACTGCTCAGAGGTGGCGGGCCAGGGCCTGCCCAGAGGAGGCGGGGCAGGGGCCAGGCTCGCTGACTCAGCACCCCAGAGGAAGGAGGACAGGAGAGGCTGTGGGCTTGGAAGTCCCTCTCCACTTGCCCTGGAGCCAGGGATGAGCCAGTGGGCTGAAGTGACCCAGCTCTGAGTGCTCCCAAGGCTGCAGGGTTCTCAGTAAGCAGGGAACCCCCTCCAGCTCCCCCACTTCAGCAGACCCCAGAGTGGGTCTGGCCCTCTGCATCTATGTGGGGACAGTCCCTTGGAGCCAGTGTGTCTCCTGGGGCGGTACCTATCTTGCAGACATGACTTCTGATGGGTTCCTCTGTCCTCTGCTCTCCAAGTCGACAAACACAGGCAACCATGAAGATTAGATGCCCATAGATGCCCTTTCACTCTCCACCGGGCACCAGGCTGCCCCTCTCAGAAGCGCCTCAGACCTTGCTGGGCTTCCAGATCGTTCCCCAGCATTCCATCAGGAACATTCTCAAACGCAGAATAAGTGCACCTTGGACAGCACACCCACAAGCCCACAGCTCCTGTGCCCTCCTTCCTCCTCCTTCCCCCACTGGCCTATCTTTTATGCTCACACCAATCCCCTCTGCCCCAACACTTGGTGGACCCTCACCAGCCAGCACTCCACATTTGGCAAATCAGAGTGTCACATTGTGGAACGGGTGGGAGGGACACATCCAGATTCCTAGAGCAAGGTGACCAGTTTGTCCTGGCTTTCAGACAGATGCCCCCGCAGTCCTGGATCCCCAGCCTCACTCCACACAGGGCCCCTGAGGCACCCGATCAGTCTCCCAGGTGCTCTGAGATGCCTGAGATGCCCCACGCTCACCACCCAGTTTGATATGGCCCATCCTCTCCTGCCCTGCCTCTCTCCCACTCTTGAGAGAGTGCTGCCAGGGGGCTCCCACATTCAGGACCCTAGGCTTTCCTTTCATCCCGCTATGCATCCAGCAGATCACACCCTGAGGAATCTCCATGGTCCGCCCAGCAGCCAGGACTCAAAGGAAGACAGAGAAGACAAGGAAAGACCACTTAGCTACCCAAGGCAGGGGACACCCACCCATACCATATCAGAAAAACACGGGGTTTACTGGACAGTCGGGTGGGCATGAAGGAGCCTGTGCAGGTGAATAAATGAAGGAGCCATTTGTTCGGGCGCATCAGAGATGCAGACTTAGGTGGAGACCTGGGACCATCTGCTGTGTCTGGCATGAGGGCATGCACTTAAGTGTAAGACAGGCAGGAGGGGGGAGACAGGCAAGGGAGACCAGTCCTCCGGGGGGGGGGTGTTGAGACCCGGAACAATGGGCAGGTAGTTGGGAGGCATGGGGTGGGATGGACGCACTGATGGACAATGTGACCATGAGAACCCTTTCCCTCCGCCCACCTTTATTAGTACCCAAACAACTCAGCAAATCTTTTTTGTAAATGGAGTTGTAGCCAGGCATGGAGGATCATACCTGTAGTCCCAGCAACTCGTAAGACTGGGGTGGAAGGATCACTTGAGGCCAGGAGTTCAAGACCAGCATGGGCAACATAGTGAGACCCTAAATTGAGGTATAATTTTGAAGAAAAAAATGAAAGACTTTAAGTGCATGCATGGTTCAACTCATTTCTTTGCAAAACATCCAGGCCACCAGCACCCCAATCAAATGCAGAGCACTTTGGCCTCTAGACCAGGTGTCGGCAGAACTTACCCACGGCCAGGACATTCCCTGCTAACTATCCTACACAGGATAGCCACAGGTCATACCTGTGACTGGTACTGCTAAGAAACCGAGTTTCACATTTTTTGTACTTTGGTTTCAACCTCAGTTGCATTAATTTAGCAGGTACAGGTGGCATGTGACTTTTGCAAAGTAAAGCTCGGGTGGGGGGCAGCTCTCTCCTGCCACCCACACAAGCAGGGAGTGGGGTCATGTCGTCCTGACTCTGGCCCTAGAGTGAGTTTGGCTGGATTGGTCTTGCATGGGGGTTGAGGAGGTCCCCATCTGCTCAAGTTCAGATGCGGAGTACATTTCTTTCAGCATGGGCACCGTGAAGGCCAGCCCCCGTCTGTTGACCCCTTGCCTACTGAGGGACACTTGAGTGGCTTCCAAGTCATTGCTGTCATGCAGGCCCTGGGAAGATTTGTGAACACATCTCATTATGGACATGTGTTTATGTCACTGGGCTGTGGCCTGGCTTGGCGGGCATGAGATCCAGGGTGATTTCTGCCCTGAGTCACCCCCACCCCGGAAGCCAGTCCTCATCCTTAATCCTACACCCCAGCTGGATCCATCTCCTTCTGCTCTGAGTTCTGGCCTTCTGCTCTGAGTTCTAGCTTCTGAGTTTCCCCAGGGACCTCAGGGTCAGCCCAGCATGAACTGGGGGCTATGAGGGGTTGGGGCAGAGCCGGGTCTCAGGGCTGCACCACTTCCTGTTGCAAATCTCCAATTTGTTTTGAGCTAAGTATCAGGCATGAGGCAGGTCCTGGCCTCTCCTTAAAATCAGGTTTCCAGATAAAACAGAAGAACATATGGATGTGATTAAAACATACAAAACCAATTAAAAGACCAGCATTTATTAAGGATGTATCCTGTGCCCAGCATTGTGGTGAGCACTTCATGTGAAAAATAAGGGCACAGGCGTGTGCGGGTCGCTGGAGGGCTGGAAGCCCCAGAGGTTGAGGCTGCAGTGAGCAATAATTGTGCCATTGCATACCAGTCTGGGCTGCAGAGCCAAGCCCCAGCACAAAAATAATAAATAAATTGATAAATAAATAAATAAGCAACAGCACATAAACCTAAGAAGGCTGAGGCCTTTGTCCAAGATCATAGGTTGGTGGTGCTATGCCCAGAGCCCAACAGCTCACATTCAACACTAGGAACTGTGGTCCCAGGAAAACTACAGCAAGTCCCTTCGCAAAGCAGAAAATCACACCTGGGCAGCCTTCCTGATCCTCTGCCTGACAGCCACCAAGCCAAGGTTCCCTGAGCCGCACTCTCCCTCCCACACCCGAGATGCTCCCAGGCAAGCCTGCTTGTCCACAGGGAGGTACTACAGGCCATGTACCTTGCACTTGTAAGGCTGTGGAGCCGCAGAAGGAGAATGAAAGATACAGAAATAGAGCATCCTCCATGCCAAGATGGAACAATTGTATTTAATTATACCCACTTTTGAAAATTTGGTTGGGGCTGGGCACAGAGGCTCATACCTGTAATCCCAGCACTTTAGGAGGCCAAGGCAGGAGGATTGCATGAACCCGGAGTTTGAAACCAGCCTAGGCAACATAGCAAAGCACTGTCTCTACAAAAAAATCAAATAATTCACCAGGTATGGTGATGTTCCTGTGGTCCCAGCTACTTGGGAGGCTGAGGTGGAAGAATCACTTGAGCCCTAGGGATCAAGGCTACAGTGAGCCAGGATCGTGCTACTGCACTCCAGCCTGGGTGACAGAGCAAGACTCTGCTTTAAGAAAGAAAGAAAGAAAGAAAGAGAGAGAGAGAGAGAGAGAGAGAGAGAGAAGGGGGAAGGAAGAAAGGAAGGAGGAGGGAAAGAGGGAAGAAGGAAAGAAAAGAAAGAAAGAAAGAAAGAGAAAGAAAATGTGGTGGACCCTAACATAGTAATTGACCAAATAATGACAATGACCTTCATTGTATTCTAAGTTTTTGTTTTGCTTTTGTTATTGAGTTGGAGTCTCACTCTGTTGCCCAGGCTGGAGTGCAGTGGCACAATCACAGCTCACTACAGTCTCTACCTGCTGGGCTCAGAAGATCCTTCTGCCTCAGCCTTCCAAGTAGCTGGGATTACAGGCATGTGACACCATGCTTGACTAATTTTTTATTTATTGTAGAGACAAGGTGTGAGCCACCATACCCAGCTATATTTCTAGGCTTTGAGATTTAGAAGGCATGGCATATGAACATTATTTTAGAGGTCATAGAGACTCTTTAATTAGGATTTTAGCTAAAAATTATCTTACCTGCAAAAAAAAAAAATCAGGCTTCCCTTAGGGCAGAAGCCGAGTGCTGCCCCTGAATGTACCTGTGCCCCCAAGCAAAGGGCCTGTCCACTCCCCAGTGGGCACAGCAGCCACATCACTCCTGGTTCTCATCCTCTGCAGGTCCCTGGCTGTGGGGCCACAGTACCCATCCCTGGGTGCGCAGCCCATCCTGTGTGCCAGCATCCCAGGCCTCGTGCCCAAGCAGCTGCGCTTCTGCAGGAACTACGTGGAAATCATGCCCAGCGTGGCCGAGGGCGTCAGGGTCGGCATCCAAGAGTGCCAGCACCAGTTCCGGGGCCGCCGCTGGAACTGCACCACTGTCCATGACAGCCTGGCCATCTTCGGACCTGTGCTGGACAAAGGTACAGGCACCGTGGGGATGAGATGTCTCAGGGTCCATGGGTGGGCAGGATGGGGTATGGCTGAACCTGGGGGCTGTAGGGTGTCTCTCCTTCCCCTTCCCTGGAAGGAAGGCTGGCAGTTCTAAGGTGATGAGACCACGGCTAACCATGGAAGCTTCTTGCAGGGGCTGGGGCTTCAGACGGCTCTTGGAGAGAAAACACAAACACCAAAAAAATCCACAAGAAGGGGGAGGCTTGGGGGCGTCATGGGGGTGATGGAGAAGGAGAGAGAGAGAGAGAAGTTAGAAAGAGAAAGGGAGACAAAGAGAGAGTCAGAGAGAGTGACTGAGAGAGAGACCAAGAGAGAAAGACACAGAGAGAGACCTAGAGAGAGACGGAGAGAAAGAGAATACACAACTTGGAAACTTTAGACCCTTTTTAAAAAAATTGATGTGAGGCTGGGAACAATGGCTCATGCCTGTAATTCCAAGGTGAAAGGATCGCTTGAGTCCAGGAGTTCTAGACCAGCCTGGGCTACATAGTGAGATCCTGTTTTAACAGCAAGATTCAAAAAATAAAAAATAAAAAAAAATAAATGTGAGGTGAAATTCACATAACAAAATGAGTCGTTTTAAAGCGTACAATTCAGTCTCATTTAGTACATTCACATAATGTTGCAGCCTTCTCCTCTGTCTAGTCCCAGAACATTCTCATCACCCCCAAAGGAAACCCTGCACCCAACAGCAGTTGCTCCTCATTCCCCTCTCCCCAGTCCCTGGCAATGACCCATCTGCTTCCTGTCCCCATGGACTTGCCTGTTCTGGATATTTCATAGAAACAGAATCACAGTCTGTGTCCTTTGTATCTGGCCTCAGTCACTGAGCACATTTCCGAGGTCTGTCTACGCCTTGGCCTATGTCCCACCTAACTCTGATTGTGCCTGAACATTATTTTATGGTGTGGAGGGGCCGCATGTGCTCTTTGGCTCTTCAGGCAGAACATTTGTGTAGTTCCCAACATTGGCTGTGGTGCTGCTCTGAGCATTCTTGAACACACATGGTGGAAACCACCGCTGTCACATCTTGGGGTCTACAACTAGGAGTGGAACTGTACATCAGCAGGTGATTCTTGGCTTTTCAGGACCCTCCATGCTGCGTCCCACAGAAGCTGCTCCATTTAATATTCCTACCAGCAATGTCTGAACGCTCTGGTTGCTCCACATCCTCACTGATACACGCTATTTTCTGTTTCTCTTTTTGTTTGTTTTTTAATTAATCCTAGTGTGTATGAAATGGTATCTCCTTGTGGTTTTGATTTGCATATCCCTAATGACTAATGATATTGATCATCTTGCATGGGCTTTTTAGCCATTTGTGTATCTTCTTTGAAATGTCTGTTCAAGTCCTTTGCCCATTTTTAAATTTGAATTGTTTGTCTTTTTGTTGTTGAGTTGTTTGAGTTCTTTATATATTCTGGATACTAGACACATCAGATATATGATTTGCAAATATTTTCTCCCACTATGTAGGTTGTCTGTTCACTTTTGCGATAGTGTCTTTTGATACACAAAAGTTTTTAATTTTGGTAGAGTCCTGTTTATTTAAATGTCACATTAGTGTAAGCATTGCCTATTCTTATGTCACAAAGATTTTCACCTATGAGTTCTTCTAAGAGTTTAAGAGTTTGCCTCTGTACTTTAGGTATTTGATCTAGTTTAAGTTAATCTTTGTATATGGTGTGAGGTAGGGATCCAACCTCATTATTTTGCACGTGGAAATTCATTCATCTCAGCACCATCTTTTGAAAATTGACTTGTCTTGGCACCCTTGTTGAAAGCAAACTGGCTATGGAGGGATGGTTCTATTTCTGGACTTGCAATTTCATTTCATTCATCCATATTCCCTTTTGCCAATACCATACTATTTTGATTGTTGTAACTTTGTAGTGTTTTGAAATTGAGTGGAGTGAGTCTTCCAACTTTGTTTTTTCAAGATTGTTTTGGCTACTTGGAGTCCCTTTCAACCCTATATAAATTTTAGTGTCAGCTTTTCCATTTCTGCAAAAAAGACTGCTGGGATTTAGATGAGGACTGCACTGATTCTGCAGGTTTCTTTGGGAAGCATTTCCTCCTTAACAATATTAAATATTCCAGAAATATAAGCTGTCTCTCCATTTATTTAGGCCTTTCTTAACTTCTTTCAGTCATATTTTGTAATTTTCAGGGTATGAGTCTTGTGCCTCCTTGACTAATATATTCTTAAGTACTTTTAAAAATGTTATTGCAAAATTATTTTCTTAACTTTTTTCAGATTGATCATCTATATGTGTTTTGCTAATATATAAAAATATGATTTAATAGAGAAATACAATTATTGTGTTTTGATCTGGTATCCTGCAACTTTGCTTAACTTATTAGCTCTGAGGGTGTTTTTCTGGTGGATTCCTTAAGATTTTCTGCATACAAGTTGATGTCTGTGCATAGAGACAATTGTACTTCCTCCTTTCTGATGTTGAACAGAAGTTACGAGACTGAGTATCCTTGTCTTGTTCCTGACTTTGAGGCAGAAACTTTTGACTGCTGAGAATATGACACTGGCTGCAAGTTTTTCACATGTGCCTGGTCACCCGATGTTCAAGGTTTTCAAAGAACACCTTTCACTTAGTCTCTGTTCCTCCCCAAGAGAGCTCTGAGTAAGGCAAAACTACATTTTTTCAACCCAGGCAGGTCAAAATAGACAATTTCTTGGGGGAAAAACCTGCTCTGCTTCCTCAGGAACCACCCACGTACCCAGGGAAAGAAGCCTTTGTCTTCAGGCCTTTGCTGTTCCAGGGAGGCTGGTGGGCATGGCCATACAAAAACACCATCATGTTCTCCTAGCATGTCAGAGTCACTGTCCCCTGAATTCATTGTTGCTCCTTTGACTACTTTCCAGAGCTCTGGACAATGTCCATACCGACCACCGGGGCTCAATTTTTTCCATGTTCCCAACTGGGTTCAGGCTGAGTTCTAGGGTAGGGACCACAGATTCCACTGCTCTAGGGCATGCCAAGGTCACCTTGAGAAACCAGCATGGAGAGTGGGATGTGCCTGGTGCTATCGGCCCCAGGATGTACTGGCAAAGTCTTGCTGGCTGTGGTGGGCCACGGGGCCTGGGCTGTTGGAACCTGTGGCCAGCAGGCCATGGGACTGGGGAAGACCAGACTCTGGGGGGAAGGCTGCTTGGCCATAGGCAGGTAAGCCACACTAGGAAAGTCCTGCCAGAGACCCCATGGCCCTGTGCTGTTGACAGGACAGCCAGGCCCTGTCTGACCTGCTCTCCCATGCACTGGCTTCCCCTGGCTTCCTCATCTGGAGTCAGCCACCCAGCCTGAGTCAGGCCAAAGTCCTTGGGCTGCTGGCTCTCTCAAGTCCTCCGACCCTGGGCTATCTCTTCCCTCCCCTCCTCTCCGTCTTATCTGCAAGGGTCTGAATGTTTGTATCCCCCAAAATTAATATGTGGAAACCTAATGTTCAACATGATGGTGTTGGGAGGTAATGCCTTCAGTTAGGGCGATTAGATCGTGACTGGGATTAATGTCCTTATAAAAGAGATCCCAAGAGCTTCTGCCCTTCCATCATGTGAGGCCTCAGCTAGAAGGTGTCATCCATGACCCTGAAAAGTGGGCTTCACCAGACACTGAACCTGCCATACCTTGGCTTTGGCCTTCCTGCCTTCAGAGTAGAGAAGAGTGAGTTCCTGTTATTCATAAATGCCAGGCTATGGGGTTCTGCTGTAGCTACCAGCACAGACCAAGCCCCTCCTATTCCTATCCCCAGCCCCACTGGCCCTAAGCTGCTTCTCAGACACTTAGTCTGGCCCAACCTCTAGCCTCCACACTTGCGGGCCCCTTTGCCAAGGACACCCTTTCCCTGTCATCTGTGAGGCCCCCACATGCTTCCCTTGGGTCTCTGTTCTCATGCCACCATCCCCCCACACCTGCCTCTCTAGCCCCTGCTCCCACATCTGTGACCTCAGTGATACCCATGGAAGAAAGGAATGGTCCTGCAGACCGCACAGCCGGACACTGGGTATGAGGGCTTCTGAGCATGCAGCTGATGGGGCCGCCAGGGCTGGGTGCCTGCTGAAGTCATTCAAGGGGCCAGTGTCCATGACATTCGACAGTCATGCCAATACCCCAGCCCCTAGGTGGGCCTATGCCCTTCAGGTGGAGAAGGGGCACTGGGGGCTGCAGATGGGGATAGAGGGCCAGACTCAGAGCCCAGGCTCTCATCACGATAGGCTGGGATGAGGAGAACACCCCTGAGAGACAAGTGGGATCCTTGTAGGGGAAGGAGCTGGAGCTGAGGGGAGCTGCTTGGCCTCCCTGTGACCTTGAACAAGCGTTCACTTGCTTCCCAGAGCGTCCGCGTCCCTGTCTATAAAATGGAAAAATAATTGCAGCTCAGCAACTTCACAAAGCTTCTGATTGGGGCAAGTGCACAGTGTAGCTCCCATGGGGCCACGAGGGTGTGAGAAGGAGGCAAACCCCAGGGTGGCATGGCCTGTCTGGCATGTCTGGGTGTGTGTAATACATTGTGCGCATGTGTGTGTCTACATGGGTGTACATGTGAGTGTGGTGTGTGTGTCTGCAGGCATGTGATATGTGTGTGATCCATGTGCATTCATGTCCATGTGCATGCATCTGTATACATGTGAGCACGTGTGCATGTGCATATGGATGCTGTGTGATGCAACTTATGCATGTGTATCTAGTGTAATGTGTATTGTGTGCATGTATGTGGATGTGGATGTGGTGCATATGCATGCAGTACATGTGTATGTGGCACATGTTTACATAGAGTGCATGCATGTGCTTGGTTCATGTGTGTGCATGTGTATGGTGCATGTGTGTGGCACGCATGTAAGCATGTGGTGTGGGATCATGTATGTGATGTGATGCTTGTGTGCATATATGTGTGGCATGCATGTGCATGCCTGTGTGTGCATGTGATGCATTTGCCACCCACTTGGGTACCTGTG